TGTCACAGCAAACGGCTACATGATATTTCAATCAGCAGCAAAATTTTCTTTAAAAAACCCGAATAACTAAAGCTAACAGGAAATGTAATTCCACCTTCCTATGAATAGAAGGGTAACTGGTAATATTTAACTATGTGCTCACATATTTAGGGGTTTTTGCTTGTTTGCTTCCAACACAATCCCCCTTCATTCAGTCTCCAGGCTGGAGGAACAGAGAGGTAGAATTTGAATACTTCTGATCATTTATATACATGTGGCATTTCTGGACCTTTAAGTATTTGATTTTGAAACCTATTTAACTTTTTGACGTAGGTGTTTTCGTGGGTTGTGTTGGGGAATGCCAAAAATTTTCTGCATATAGAGAAAAAAAAAAAAATTAATAAGAGTAACTGTATGACTGTTCTTCTGTTTTTAACCAAAGGGCCCTCCCTCTGTGTCTGTAACACCAGCCAAACTTTCTTAGTAGCACAAGCTTCTTATTCAGCTTTGTTTTAACAAAGAAAGATAAACCACTGTTTTGCTTTGCCCTTCCCCCATTATTTACTCATTAGTTTTATTTAGTTTGGTGTTCCCTGCTCCTTGTAGGGAAAAAAAGAACATATTTAAAAAAAAATAATTATTTTTTACCATATTAAGTTGTCGACTATGTACGTTCTTATGAGGAATTTAAAATAGAATGTAATTATAAATCACTGCTAAAATGAGCTTGTCCTGCAAAGGCAAGGACATTTAGTTGTGTCCTTGTACGACTGGAATCACTGTAAACAACTAATATTTCTATTTGCAAGGACAGAAATAACTAGCTCATTCAGTTGTACAGAAAGGAAGACATAAAAGGAAACCAAAGGCTAAACTAGAATAAGCCACTGGAAAGTTTTATGTCAACAGAACTGGATTTAAATTAAGTAACATCAATTCAGTATTTTGACTGTAAGTGAATCAGAACATTAAAACATGTTTTAAAGGGAACATTTGTGATGAAACATCTATGACTAGTTCCTATACCAAATGAATAGGAAAGTTTCTACTTATTTCTTCTGTGCAGGATCAAATCCACACAGCAAAGTTACTTCTCTAGCTTTAGTACTACTTTGTAGACCTAAATTTTGAAAATGAGAATATCATAACTGCAAGGAAAACACTGAACAAATGATTGATCCGTTATATACAATGGAAAACACAGTACCGATGACATAGAGGTTGCATCATACTACATATGTGTGAAGGAGTGAAATTAAAATTACACAGAAAATTTCCATTCTTACATTTTCTAATTCTCTAAGTTGCAAAGTCACTCAAGGCACTCAAATCTCTTTGATTGTTTTTTCTGACACTGATTTGCAGAAATGTGAACAGATTTCAACGTTTGTTACTTTGCCTTACTCAGTGGCAAAAGTATGTTAAAAATCAAACATGCCAAATAAAAAACCCCCAAGCTCAAACCAAAGTAGTGCATTTCTAAGTCACTTGGAATGAGGGCAGATGAGTGAAGAGTCACCTTGCTTTAAAACAAGCAGAAGCACAGCAGAGCTATTCTCCAGTGAGAGGAAATAAGGAAATAAACTGCACATTACTCTTTCCAAATAAGAACAGAGAATTCATTTACCCGGTAATTCTACTATGGTGATAACAAATTAAAATTGTGGGCAGACAGCAGAGAACCAAGAAGATATACAATCCATAGCAAGGACCAGCCAAATTAAAGGGAACTTGTTACATTGTCAAATTTTGAGTAATTAGTGCTTCCATCAGAGGCACAGCTCCAGCTTTAAGCAATTCTAAGTAATTAATGTTCCTTTATTTTGCCTAGAAGCCCTGACTTCAGCATTCTCTTAGGATACGGATTCTTCTAGCCAGAGCTACACAATACAGATGAACTCAACTAGAAGACAATTAGAGTAGGCAGATGAAGATGTAATTTGTCAGTCTGTACATGCTGTTACTTCTAGCCTTGGATGCAATTTTTATTAACACAGCAGACTGATTGAAACGGAGGCAGAGACACGATTTTGTCCTATCTATATCCATATGATTGCCTAAGCTGCAAGAAATGTTGAGATTTGAAAATCCTACATGACCAAATGACAAAACAAAGTCAATGAAGTCCCAGATTATATCTCCTGTACAGCTTTAACCAGCTACAGGAATTCAATAACTGATTATACACTTAATAATTTAAAATACACAATTTAAAATGCATGATGGAGGAAATCATGCTATACTTATTCATCACACAATGTAAATCCCTAGATTAAAATGCCAAGCCGAGCAGGAAGCAGAAGGTGGCCTGGTGGCTAGCATATGGAAAAGATGGAATTTGATTGCCAGAGATGCTATTGCATTTGTACGCTGTGTTAGGTAAGCTGTCTGGGTCCTCAAAATCTTGGAATACATCCTAGGAATACATGTCTCCCAAAAAACGTGTTTGTTTCATGGGTGTTTTGAAGATGACTTGTTTGCCAACCAGTTGAAGATTCCTTAAGAAAAGGAGCAAAGTAAAAACGAGAAATGCGATTAGGTGTCCTTTCCTATCTGCACTACAACATCAAGTATAAGACAGCACTTATAATATTTCATATTGAGCTTTGAAACCCAAGACAGTAACAATATGAAGCAGTTTTACAAGCCTTTTACCCAATTTCCAGACACCACTGACCATTGAACTGTACCATGCACCAAGAAACACGTGGCAGAAGACATCACACTTTACTTTCTCTACTAAGCACAACCATAGCAACAATTACCTTAGTTTTTAGCTTCTGAAAATTTCTGTAGCTGCAAGACGCAGAGGCCAAGGATGATGTAATGACTCAGTTATTGGTAGCACTGAAGGGAAAGCTGAAACTGCAGTGAGGAAGAGGAGAGCAGAGCAGGACCTCCCTCGCAGAGGTCTGTAACTGTACTGGTGTTTCTCTTTTCCAAATGTTATTGTTCACATGGACTCCAGATTGGCAGGCCTTACGTGCTTTTAATACTAATTGATATAAAAAGAAATACAACATTCTTGATCTACAAAGTTTCTTCTCACAGAGTTGTCAACATTTGCACATGGTCAGAACCAAGGCCCAAGAAAGGCAAATCTTGCCAAATCTGTCAATATCGTAAAAGGTTCACATCTTTTTTGCCTGGACCTTACCTTTACAATCCTTTTTACAAGTCTCTTCCAAAATATGGTTGCAATATGCTTGTGCTTTTAAGCTAGAAAGTATATTAAGTGCACAGTGAAGACCTACATTTTTGTGCGATAGAGAAACCAAAGGCGGTGATTTTCAAATATCTAAGTGAGAGCACAAAGTCTTCTCTGACTCCTAAAACGCAATCATAAACTCAAAAAGACACTTCGAAAACTTCATCCCTGGGAAATTTTTTTTTTCCTAATGGAAAGAAAAAAGTATCAGCTTCTGCTTGAAGTGACAGCAATTTCTTTTTCAGCTGCGTATTCGCAGACATAAAAGACAAGATCTAAAGATCTTTCACTACTTCACTTTATGTCAGTATCACTTCTTTTTATTACAGACCCTTTTCACCAACTTTTGCACTGGAAGCTCAGTTTTATGTAGCTTTGGGCCTCAGAAAGGCTTCAACACCGCATGCATCCTCTGCAGCCCCCATCCAGCTGTTGCCCCATGGTATAGGAATAGCATCTGAGCTGCCGACAAAGCATCGGCAGCCCAACGGAGAGGCTGGCCACTGCTGCTGCATTCTGCTCACTGGCATGTTAAGCTTCATCACAGTTACTGTGCTAGAGCAGGGAATGCTGGTCTCTAGTCTTTTTGGCTGAAAACATCATCTTCAAGAAGTCAGAAAGCGTAAGTTATTTGTTACTAGTAATATATTTCCTACTTTTAAAGATTTGTAGTAATCCATGACTGTGAAGGCTGTCAAATCCACCCAAATGCTTCTTATTGAAAAGTTAGGCCTGTGTATCCATAGATCCTCCCCTCTTTCACCCGTTCAAATTAAAGCCGTAATTCCCAAAGACAGCTGCTCTTCCCAAACACTACACGTTTCATATCGTTGCTATTAATAAAGTATGAACAATGTTTGCAGAAACGTTAAAGAATCAGGTCAAGAATGCTGTCTGAACACAAGTGTTATTAAATAAGCCAATGATGCAACTTTTGAGTAATTAATGTCCTTGGTTTTCACTTGAAAGCCTCATTTTCCGCATGTTCACAGGAGACAAATGTCCCATGTCAAAGCGAATGAACACAAATTAACTCTTTTGGAGGCCAAATACAAGAGAAAGATGAAAATACAGTATTGGCAGGCTAGATACCAAACGCTGCAACACAGCACTTCTCATCATAGGGTAAGTTTAGGTACAATCAGACCTACATACGGTCAAAGGATTTGATCTGTTCTCATCTGTGCATTGTCTGAATATCTAAACAATTGCCATGAAGCACTTGAAAACTTTAAAATATAAAAGGAAAACTAACAAAGCTGATGGTATCTCCAGAGCACCACGTGAAGTACTAATAAGCAACTGTGTTATACAACCCGTGTTCAACAGACTGAAAATGATCTTTCCCAAATCCAAATGACATCCTTCTAAAGCTGAAAGTGATAGATTACAGCTGGCTGAGCAAGCACTGTACTGTATGCTCATTTTAAAAGCTGCCATTGTAAGAGACCCTGCAGGCTTTCTGTTGGATCCTTTGCTCTCCTTGTTAAGAACTGCAAAGCTCCTCTTATTTAACAGTAATTACATGGGGAGGTGGGGAAAAACTAACGAGAAAGAGAGGTTTATTTTTCTGAAGATATGCAGTAAGATTACTTTTAACCAAAATAGCACATCTATAGACCAAATATGATATTTTTATTTCATCGCCTCAAAACATGATAAATACTTGCAATTGGAAACAATTATGAGTACAAAATCTGAAAATTTACTATTAGGATTCTTATTAGAAATTATGTCTTTACAACTAATTTATAGTCTCTGTATATGACATCTATTCTCTCCACCAGACAACCACCAAGACACAAAAATACCCTCAGGACAGCAGTTGCAGAACTTGTCGTATGCGCTCACACTTCTCCAACAGGTTTGGGTCTTCTGTATCGGAACCATCAAATTCCTTCATAAAAGCTTCGGCTTTCTGCACAGTTATGTCTCGTGCATTGCCTTGAAGCCCTTGAAGATAATCCAGTAAAATGGTGAAATGCTCATCTGGAACCTTTAAAGAAAAAGAAAAAAAAAAAAAGACCTGCTTTATTTTGTTCTCTCTCAATACTCATTCATGATCATGTCAAACCATTACCTGAAAGATAATGAGGAGAACTGCATGGGCTTTTGTGTTTGCCAATGCCCACCTCTGAGTGGAAGTGTTTCCTGCCAAGGTTCAAGCTGCCGGGAGGGATGGACCATGGCGAGAGGACTGTCATGTGCTCAGATGGGCAAAGCTTCTGAGAGGAAATTCTAAGCAGATGTGGAAATGCTGATCAGCAAATGCAAACACCCCCTGACAGTGAGCTCAAGGCTGTGAGGGTTGTTGGAAGAAAAAAAAACCACTAGCCAAATCCTACTTTTGGAAACACGTATGCAAACCTTGCTAAATTCAGTGTGAATTGCATGCACATATCTGAGGAAAGAATTTTGCTGGAATTACCCTCACTTCTACCCAAAATTGTTTGTTTGCTAAGATGAGATACTGTCCACCATCAAGCACTTTAACAGAATGCTTATACAAAGGAATAGCATTTAATTTGAAAAACAAGTTGAATCCAGACATATGGAAATAATTTTTAAATCATGCTGACTAAAACTGATAGGGTCTACTAACATGTCTCACATGAAAAGCAGTTTAGTCATCTCCAGTTCATTACCCCCATTTCACTCTCTTTCTAATTAACTAGTCATAGGTTAAATTTTAGCTTATCTGGTACAACAATTTAAATAATCATGACATTAAATAAACTCGGTGATAACCTAGTAAAGACTTTTGAATGGTTTATCCAATAGTTCCAACCAACGTGTTTTCAAAAGTATTAGGTGAGCAGATCTACATTGAAGTGTATTTTAACTTTATGTTGTGTATCTGTGGAACAGGTTTCAGCCAATAAGAGGATACTTCTGCTGTGAATCGGGAGATGTTAAAATGACCTAATACTGCAAATATTTTTCTCCACGTTTCACTGTACACATATAACTTTAAAAGGCATACTCGACATGAGTCGAGTTAAACACATACGTAAGTATTTAAAGGATTGGAGACTAATTATTCGAGGGCTGTTTCAATTCTGCAAAGTATCAACATTTCAGAGGAGACAGAGCTTCAACAGATACTTAATTTACAACTTACGTCTCCATCAACATTTGGCAATGTAACTTTGATCACTAAAACTTCTATCATTCCAAAAGAAGAGGAAGAAAGAATATTCCAACACTGCCTTCATCAATCAGGGATATTACAAAGTAATAAATCAAAACTAAAGTCTGCATTCAGCCTCAGAACTTACACACTATGGAAAACCTTCTAATTCTTCACACAAACACTCTTGTATTAAAGAAACAATAGAGATTAAAAAAATAAATTAGTTTTACAGTGATGTTATACGAAATGTTGCTATAATATACGAATCAAACATTTAAACATAGTGAAAAAGTCTGTATTTTTGAAACCTTTTTACTCACAGTAAACTGGTACTAATACAGACAAAAACATTCAGATACAACCAATCTCAGCATGATAATGCTCCTTGAACGCAGATGCTCAGTACTGGGTTTTTAAAGCTCAGCAACATTTCTATGCTTCAAACCTTGGACAAATTATCTACCTAATTTACACCTCTTGTTCTCAGCTCTCATGTTACAGTCATCCCTCACTCTGTGGAGTTATAGCTGTTATTATATAATTTAAGCAAAGTGCTTGAAAGGGCAATTAAAAGCCTACTCTAAACTTAGAAATACTAAGTGTGCGGACAGACATGTGGCTGCCTGAAGCCTAGAAAGCATTGAGCATTTGGCCCTAAGGATAACTGCTCCGGTGTTTAAA